GCAATAAAAATGAAAATGGTTGGTATTAACCACCTCATCTAAACAGAGTAATGCACTATAGTTAGGTAAACATGGTTTATCATAAAGATCGAAATCTTACAGTTGGTATGGAAAATATTGCAATATTTTTCTTTCTTTCCCCCTACCACACTTTATACCAGAGGAAACTCAACGCAGTGACACTGGCAGGCAGATCTGATCTAACTGCTGCATAGGACTTGTCCCACTATCATGCTCAGCCTTCATTTGAACCAGGCTGCTTTAAGTTCAGATTCAAGATCTGCTACTTATCAGCTGTGTGACCTTGGGCAAAGTACTTACCCACACTGAACCCGGTTTTCATACTGTTAACTGACTATGATGCATGCAGTTGTTTCTGTTGTTAAGTGCCATTGAGGCGAGCCCAGGTACTAACGAGTGAACCCGGCCCTGTCCTGCGCCATCCTCACGACGGTTCCGCTGCCTGAGCCTGTCGATGCAGCCACAGCTTCTGCCCGTCTTGTCGAAGGTCTTCCTCTTTTTCGGTGCCCTGATACTTTACCCAGCATGATGTCCTTCTCCCAGAACTAGCTCCTCACAAATTGTTTTAATGGTCCACAGAGCCATTGCATGAGCTAAGGGGTAATAAGTGTTGGTTTTTACCGTTCTTGTCCATAAATGAATCAGACTCCTGGTGGTATTGATGGGCCTACAAAGATTCACAGCATTGCTTCGATATGGAAATGAGGGAATCCCAACTTGGAAGGCCCAGCCTGCACTCTCGGCAGTCTCATTCCAGCCGCAGGGAACGGAGCTCCACCCAGAGACAGAAAGGAGGAAGAGGAGATGGGATTCCTCTGGAGAAGAGAGAAGGCTCCGGTCAGGTCTTTCTAAGCTAGAGACTGCCCTGCAATCATTTTGAGACTTGATGATCCGAAATAGATGCTAGAAGACATATTCGGAGGTGTGACAAGTAGGTCTTGGTGTAAGTTCGGTGTCAACAAATTCTGACCAGCACTCTTCTACGTCAGTGTTTACCAAATTGGGCGATACCACCCGCTTGGGGGCGCTGGACCACTGCAGAGGGGCTGCAAAAACAGATCCCCACTATGCTCTATCCTGGACTATGGGCAGAAGGGTGCGGTTTTTCATTGCCAAGAGGGTGCTAGGAAACTTTTTAAAGGGCTGGTAAGACCAAGTAAGCTTGGAGCCTGTGCTGTAGCTGTCACTTACAGGAGAGGGCGTTGTGTGTTCGGGGCACAGACTGCATGCCAGACAGTCCCCCCTCCACTTCCAGATTGTGAAGAAGACAGGAGGAGGAAGGGGTGACCCAGAGTTGCCCACCCTTGCTCTTTTTTCTGACTGCATATAAAATGCAATTCTAAGAGTCATCCTTCTGGGAAGTAAAAAGTATATATTTATCCTAGACCCGGGAATTCTGTGCTCTGCCTGCCATCCTAATTTGGAAGGGAAAGAAGCTTCTGGAACCCTTTTCCAAGGTCCCTCCCAGCAGGGCTCTTCCTATGGCTCTCCTCTGATGTGTGTGACCTGGATCGGTGTGGGCCAAGGGTTCAAGAGCTGCACTTGGCTGGGTTAGCATGCTCCCCAGGAATGATAATGCCAACCAGTTCTAGTCTCGTGACCCACCTGCCCAATGGCTGGGTAGCTGCGGCAGGAAGGGTCTCGTGAGATACCTGCAGGGAGGAGGAAGGACACACCTAGTTCACAGCCCAGGCCTCCCCCTGTCCACCTTCCACATTCCTGTGCCCTGCTGTTCTGACAAGTCCGTTTGAACACAGGTGCAAATATGCGTCCCTGGTTAAAGTGTCAGCTGCTAACCTACAGGCTGGAAGTTGGCGTCCACCTCGATGTGCCGCAGGAGAAAGGCCTGGTGACTTGCTTCTGAGAAATCAGCCACTGAAATCCATGAAGCACCGGTCCACTGTGACACATGTGGGGTCGCACCAAGTTGAAATCAACACAGCAACGAGTTGGTTGCAAGTACGCTTTCTGTGGGCTCGCTCCATGGAGTAGGGCAGGCATCGATGGCTCTGGTGGCCCTTGGGCAATCCGGCCCATCCCATCACCCCTCAGTCTCTCCTCAAAGTTACCTTCCAGAGAACGTTAAATTTGGGAAGGGACAGTTTGGGTAACATTGACTCCTGAACTGCCTAATCCCAGAATCAATTATTCCAAAGTCGGAGATTATAAAAAGTTTTCCGGGGTCATTCCCACCTTGCATAGCACCTGTGGATGTGTGCAGTTTTCTAAGGCCTCCAGTAAGTCCAGGGAGGGAAAATGCTGTTTCATCTGTTTCATCTGCCTCCTAGACATGTATTCTTTCTGAATTCCTGCAACCTGGAAGTGAAAGATGCTAGGCTCAACTCCATTGCCCTCTGCGTAGCCAACTGTCCGGAAGAACAGCTTGACACCCTAGAGGAGGTCCGGCTCTTTGCCAACAGCAGCGGTGAGTGCTGAGGGGCCGGCTTGGCTCCTGTCTGTCCGGGAGGGTAGGAAACGCAGCAGGGCTGCGTGAGGGGACCTGGAGGAGAGAGGTTGTCCTGATCATGCATCTCCTGGAAATACAGGACCGTCCGGGTGGGTGTCTCTTCTGGTGTGGAGAGGCCATCAGACCATGCAGGCTTGGCTGGGAAATCACTAGCTACTCCTTGCCTGCGCTCCCCCTCACGCTGGGCATGGTTTTCCACAGAGAAGACAGCATCGACAGGCAGACCGGAGCTGTATATTGATTAATATCTGGGACCCAAGGGCAGCGTCAGAGTGCTCTGTGCACAACGGTCATTTCCAAACCTAGAGACGCCCTCACTGGCTTCAGGGGAAATTGCCAACAAGTACAATTATTCCTTGAGGCCTTGGGTGGTGCACCCAAAAGGTAGACTCTTCGAGTCCACACAGAGGTACCTCAGAAGAAAGGCCTAGCGGTCTACTTCTGGAAAGACAACCAGGGGAAGCCCTATAGAGCACAGCTCCGCTGTAACATGCATGGAGCCATCACGAATCAGAACTGGCTCGACAGCAGGTGGTTGGGTTTATGTTGGCCAGTAAAATGTTGGGCCCTACAGGTATTTTCACTGATTTGTTGTGTTACTGACATAACTGTGCTCCAGGCCCACTTCTTAGGCTTATTTTATAAATCTTCAATAAGCAAAGGAAAAGCCAGAAAACCAAACGCAACTGCCATCAAGTCAAACCAACTCAGAGTGACCCTATAGGACAGGGTAGAACTGCCTCTGTGGACTCCGAGACTGTAAAACCTCGTCTTTCTCCCATGGAGAGGCTGGCCTTGCGGTTAGCAACCCAACATGACACCAGCGTGGAAGAAATGTTAGCAAAGCACTGCACATCTATGTGCCTGTGATGTAGTGTGTCATTGGGTTTGTTTTTTAAAAGAATTATTTGCAAGACTGAGTTTTTTAAAATATCAAATTATGTAACAAGTCACCTTCAAAGAATTTTCAATGCACTCCAATACTACTCATATGACTTGTTGTTCTGAGTTTAGGGCTTGGGAGAATAACAGGAGCGGACCTAACTTGACCTACTCTTTCTGCATTTCAGTGACCCATAGGCCTGTTTTCTCCATCTGGGTTTTTTTTCCTATCTAATGGGTGTGGTATCCTTACCTTCCCTACTAGGAATATGGACATAAGATAACCAGCCTGTCTGTCTTCTGCTTCTAGGTTCCTTCCTTTGTGTCTATAGCCTGAATTCCTTCCAGAACCCAAGTGCAGACTCACTGTGTCCCAGGCTACCAGTCCCTCCGAGGTAAAAATGTCCGTGCCTTTTCCTTCTTGTTCAACAAAAGCTCATGGATTCTTGGTGTGTGTCCGTTACTCTTCTAAATATTGTGGGGACTGCATAAGGGATGCCAGCCACAACCTCTGCCCACTGCAGAAAGATTCCAATCTGGAGACCAGGGAGAAACAAGGAGAGACTATTTGCAAACTACGCAATGATAGTGGAACAGTATCCAGGCTAAGTAAGGAGAAAACGCAACCGACAAGAATGACATATGTAGTCTTCAGATAGTAAGAGGGCTAGCAAAAATACTATGTGAATGATTGCCCAGTGAGTGATTGTGAAAAATATCCCATGTGTATTTTTCCTACTCCAATTGTGTGTTGTTGTTTAGTGCCATCGAGTGGATTCCAACTCATAGCTGCCCTCCACGGCAGAGGAACTGCCCCATCGGGTTTTCTAGGCCATCAGCTTTCTGGAAGCAGAGTACCAGTCCTTTCTCCCACACACCCACTGGGCAGGTTTGAAGCCCCAGCCTCTCAGTTAGCAGCCAAGCACTTAACTCCGACCTCATCAGGGCTCTTAAACTCTTCAGGTTGAAGAAGAAATTGTTTACTTTCCATTTTTTAATTATCTCCTGGTCCTGTTGGCTTGGAACAGATCTAAGTGAGTGAGGCCAATGGGCATCGTAACTCTTCTTCCAGGGACGAGCCATCGCACTCCTTATTAAGAGCACACTCAGTAAACTCTGCCAAGGATCTTATTCATCTCTATCAAGTAGTGGGCCACCAGGCACGTTGCTGTTGCTGTTAGCTGATAGCAAGATAGCCCCAAACTCATGGTGACCCACGTACAACAGAACAAAATGCTGTCCCGACCAGCGCTAGTCCCATGATCCATTACACACCAGATTGTTGTGGGCCATATTATAGTCTTCACTGGTTGATTTTGAGAAATAGATCATGAGGTCCTTCTTCTTAGTTTCATGTACAAGCTCCTCTGAAACCTGCTTAGTACCTTGGCAACAGAGAAATCCTCACTGATTGGCTTGACATACATTGGCCATTAATTGAACCATATAAACCAAGTGATGATAACATATTTAAACCATATGCTAGGCCACAGCAGGCTTCAATGAATTTAGAAGCATCAGAATACTGCAAAGTATGTGTCTTCTCATGTCACATTGTTAGATATCAATGTTAATATCAAATTAGAAATCAATAATAGGAAGATCTAAAACATGAAAGTTCTATAACATGTCCTTCTTAAAGACTGATAAATAATAGAAGACAAAAAAGTTCTTGAGTCAACTGAAGGTGAAAACACAAGTTTTCAAGTTGGGACAAAGCAAAAGCAGTGCTCAGAGGGCAATTTATAGCAAAAAAGAAGGAAGAGCCAAAAATCAGCATCATAATCCAACGTCTTCAACAATTGAAAAGAAAGAGCAGCAAAATAAGCCTACCATCACCTGGATAAAAGAAATAAATAAGACTAGAGCAGAAATAAATGACACTAAAACAGAAAAACAATAGACAGAATCTAATGGACTAAAAGTTCTTTGAAAAGATTGAGTAAATTGATAAGCTGTTGACAAACCCAACAAAGGATAAGAAAATTATGAAAATAACATGAATAAAGAATGAAATCAGCGATGTCACAACAGAACCAAAAAATAGAAAAAGAATAGCAATATTATGAATTACTGTACTCTAACAAATTTTAAAACAAAGAAGAAATGGACACATTTCTAGAAATCAATCACTCAGAGAAGAGCTGACACTAATTCTACTTCAACTAATCTAGAATATAGAAAAGATGGAATATTCCCAAATTTATTTTGTGGAGTGAGCACTAGGCTCTCTGTTTGGGATACACCCTAGTGAAATAAGATCCACTATATGAATATATATTCACCCATGTTCATTGCAGGACTATGCATGCTAAGAAAATGATGGAACAGGCTCACTGCCCAACAATGGAAAGATGGACAACCAATGGAACACCATGCAGCGTTAAAGAATAACGGCGCCTCTGTGAAGTGCCTCATGAAATGGATGAACTTTATCATAACTTTTTATGAGAGTGGGCTCATACAATTATATTCCCTTTTGTGATTTGCTAATTTCCCACTAAAAGAACCATTCTTTCAAAACTCCCAGGAGCAAGAGGGGAAAGGAGCAAAGTCTTGACTAAAGCATAGATTCTCAAACGTATTAAGCCAACTGTCCCCCTTTCAAAAACAAACAAATAAAACTACTCAGTACCCACCAGCAATGAGAAACTTGTGGTGTAGCTTATCACCCAGGATAAAGTACATGTATGGGCTGTTGCAGCCCCTCCGGATAGTAACAGAGTCCACTGGGGAGGAGTATTGTAGGCCACTCTGGAAAACACTGGTCTAGAGGATATTGTTGTTGCTGATAGGTACCATCAAGTCGGTTCCGACCCATAGTGACCCTCTTTAAAACAAAATGAGACACTGCCCAGTCCTGTGCCACCCTCACAGTTGCTTTTATGCCTGAGCCCATTGTTGCAGCCCATCTTGGTGTCAATCCACCTTGTTGAGGGTCCTCCTCTTTCTCACTGCCCCTCCGCTTTACCTATCATGATGTCTTTCTCCAGGAACGGCCCTCCTGATCACATGTCCTAAGTATGTGAGACAAAGTCTCACTGCCTTTCCCCTTAAGGAGCACTCTGGTCATACTTCTTTCAAGACAGATCAGTTTGTCCTTTTAGCGGTCCATGGAACCTTCAGGATTCTCCAGCATAACAATTCAAATGCTTCGATTCTTCCCTGGTCTTCCTTTTTCAATGTACAGCTTTCACATGCATATGAGGTGATTGGAAATAGCATGGTTTGGGTCCGGCACACCCCAGCCCTCAAAGGAACATCCTTGGTTTTCAACACTCTAACGAGGTCTTGTGCAGTAGATTGACCTAGTGAACCTTGACTTGTGATCTCTTCCTGCTGTTTCCATGACCACTGGTTGTGGGTACAAGCAAGACACAGCCTAGATGACTTCAATCTGTTCTCCATTTATCATGGTGTTACCCATTGGTCCAGTTGTGAGGATTTGGGTCTTCTGACATTGGGTTGTAATCCGTAGTAAAGGCTGAAATCCTTGATCTTCATCAGCAGGTTCTTAGAGTCAGACTCAGTTTTAGCAAGCAAAGTTTTGTCGTCTGCATATCGCAGGCTATTAATCAGCCTTCCTCTAGTCCCGATGCTGCACTCTTCTTCGTATAATCCAGTTTCTCCGGCGATTTGTTTAGCATGTAGATTAAGTAGGGTGAGAGGATACAACTGTGATGCACACCTTTCCTGATTTTAAACCATGCAGTATGCCTTTATTGTGTTCCCACAGGTTCTACATGGGCATAATGATGTGTTCTGGAATTCCCATTTTCCTCAAGACTAGCCATAGTTTCTTATGATCCACACAGTTGGATGCCATGGCACAGTCAATAAAGCACAACTAAACATTTTTCTAGTATTCTCTACTTTCAGCCCAAATCCATCTGACATCAGCAATTGTATCCCTTGTTCCTTGTCCTCATCTGAATCCGGCCTGATCTCTGGCAGTTCCCTGTCAGTGTACTGCTTATAACCACTGTTGGATAATCTTCAGCAAAATGTTTACTTGCATGACATTAATGATGTTTTTCTATAATTTAAGCATCTGTTGGGTCACCTTTCTTTGAATGGATACAAGTATCCATATCTTCTGGTCAGTTGGCCAAGTGGTTGTCTTCTGCGTTTCTTGGCACAGACAAGTGAGTGATTGCATTGTTTCACCAGTCCATTGGAACATTTTAATTGGTATTCCATCAATTCCTAGAGCCTTATTTTTGGCTGATGCTTTCAGTGCAGCTTTCTTGCTCATATACTATCTCCTGAAATGGCTGAATGTCGACTAGTTCTTTTTGGAGTAGTGACTCTGTGTATTCTTCTAAATTCTTTTGATGCTTCCTGCATCATTCAATATTTTGCCCATAGGATCTTTCATATTGCAACTCAAGGCCGGAATTTTTTCTTGAATTCTTTCAGTTTAAGGTATGCTGAGTGTGTTGTTCCCTTTAGGTTACGTCTTTGCATATTTCATTATAATATTTTACTTTGTCTTCTTGAGCTGCTCTTTGCAATTTCCTGTTTAGCTCTTTGACTTCATCTTGTCTTCCATTTGCCTTAGCTACTCTACAATTAAGGGCAAGTTTCAGAGCCTCTTCTGACATCCACTTTGATCTTTTGTTTTTCCTGAATTTTCGATGACCTTTTGCTTTCTTGATGAATGGTGTTCTTGATGTCATCCACAGCTCATTAGGTCTTCCCTTATTGGTGTTTAACACATCAGATATGTTTTTGAGATGCTCTTGAAACGGGGGATAGACTCAGGGTCATATTTTGACTCTCCTGGAATTGTTTGAATTTTCATATGAGCTTACATATGAGCAACCTGAACTTATATATGAGCAATTGATGATCTGTTCCACAGATCAGGCCCTGGCCTCATTTTAGCTGCTGATATTGAGCTTCTCCATTGTCTCTTTCCAAAGATGAAGAAATCCCTTTTGTGTTGTTGAAGAAGGTATTTGTGATGAAGTCATTGGTCTTGCAAAATTCTATTATTTGAACTCCAGCTTCAGTTCTGCAACCAAGACACGTTTCTTCTTCGTTTCCAATTTTTGCATTCCAGTTGCCACGATTACCAAATATTTTGATTGCACATTTCACCAATTTCAGACTGAATACTGGTAGAAGTCTTCAATTTCTTCATCACTAGGGTTTGTTGGTGGTGCATCAGTTTTAATAATAGTTGTTGGGATTAGATTTCCTTACATTTGAATAGACATTATCGTATTACAGATGGCATTGTACTTCAAGATAGATCTTGACAATTTGAGGGGGGGTGTTGATAATGAAAGCAATGCCATTCTTCATAATTCTGTCATTCCCAGCATCGTAAACCATATGGTTTTCTGGTTCAAAATGGCCAATACCAGTCCATCTCAGCTCACTATCACCG